AAGAGACCCGCAGGTTGGTCACGCGTGTACAGTGCACTAAACAAACGTTGAAACGTTGCTGCGCTGGCATACGTACGATTATTGGCTACTCTTTCATAGTTATGGCCTTTCGCTGGCGGAAATAAATAAATAAGGATTTTTCTTTTGTTCCTGCGCTGCCTACAGAGAGATGCATCCTGCCTTTGTTTACTGGTCAGGGGTGTCGCTCGACGCTTTATAAAGAATGTCACGTCCATCAACACAGCTTAATGTTTGGTACACGAGAAAAATAGTTGGCAACAACTCTCCTACGGCGCTCGCCCCCTCCCTCTCTCCCTCACTTCCTCCCCCAATCCAACCCCTGCACCTTCCCTTTTCCCCCTAATCATCCTCCCCCTCCCCCAATTACACCTTTCTTACTCCCACAATAGCGCCATAGGCACCTTTGTCCCCCTCCCTCTTTTCTCAGTTCCCCCCACCCTATTCTTCCACCGTTCCCACCACCATTCCCCTAATCCTGGCACCTGCTATATTTCTCGTATTCTCTCTCCCCTCTTTCCTTAGCTACGCAGAAATTACGTCCCTTTAATTCTCTTTTGTTTTACCCCTCCTTTGGTGCAAGTCGTATCTCTGCACTTTCCATTTGTTTATATTCTTCACTGCCAACTTCATCTTCTCGCTTCCTTCCTTTCTTCTCCAGCAGGTTCATCTTCTGTTCTTTTTCCTGTCGCTTGTTACATTCTCGTAATGTTCTGTGACTGGTGTGATCCTAATGTTTCCTTATTTATTTCGTCTGCTTTTCTGTTGCATCGCTTCCCTAATCTGATTTTTAGTTGTAAACATTTTATATATATATATATATATATATATATATATATATATATATATATATATATATATATATATATATATATATATATATAATATATATATAGCCTTAGTAGTCCTGACCACTCAGCAACGATTAGCTATAGATTGTGTTCTCACGGACGTATGTTTACAGGGGGAGTCAAGTCTCAGCTCTTGGCCCAGTCCTGGCCACGGCTGGCTTACCACTTGGCCCCTACCTCATTGATTCTTTAAACTGTTTACGGAGTTGGCATCCACCACTTCCGCTCCTCAGTGTTGAAATCCTTTCCTACTCTAAGACTGAAGCAGTGTGTCTCCATATACCTATAACCTCTTAAATTTCTCTTCTCTGTCTAGGCTCTCCTGTCCCCGTCCATCACATGATAAACAACCACTGGAGAAACGGTCACAACACAGTATACCAAGAAGTTGTTTTGATCGTCAACGCTCCCGCGACCCTGTCCATGACCAGGCCGTAGCTGGAGCTGTAATAAGTAGTATGGTAATATAGACGAACAAAAGGACACTTATGTAGTTCAGGAATGATGAAACCACACGTGACGAAATTATTCAATTACTCAATGTCGTGGACTGTACACAAAAATTTATTTCTACAAGTAGCTGTGACATTTTACGTCTAAATAGCAGTTTGAAGAGAAAACTACAGGCGACTATTTCCGTCCATTGCCAACTCGTGCACTGATAGCCCAGAATTAACCAAAACATTATCTAAAATCTACTCTGTCAATTACGAGGTGGTCAAAAAAACTCTGTCAGTACATCAGATTACTCTGAACGTTTGATCATATCTATGTCCCATGGCCTGGTAGGCAACGCTCTCACCTCACACACTGAGTGTCCGTGCTTCAAAACCAGGCAGGGTGGAAACACTGAGCGTGTTTCTTTACACCTGCTGTCCCCGTTCACCTGGCAAGGAAGTGGGTACCTGGGCGTTAGTCGCATCCTGTGGGACAATATTGAAGAATCCCAGTGGAAGTAAGACAGATAGTCCTCGATGACGCACCGACTGTCTTGGGTTACCCTGGATGGATAACCCTTCGGGTTAAAATCCGAACAAAATCTTATGTAATCTCTTATCTCTCCTGGTCCCTACGTGCATGCCAAATTCTAAGTAGTTACAGCAGCAGAACAATGCTCATAGTGTTCATACTCGTTGTAATTATTTGAACATGACTAACTCCCAGGTACCTAATATCTGCTAGATAAATAGGGACAGCAAGCCTGAACGGCTTTATCCATATATCCCGTTCTGCCTGAGGGTCGAAACCAGAACTTTTAGATTCTTTGTGAAATTCTGTGACAACTGACCTAATGTTAAGTTTTATGAACATTTTTTATATGCATATAACCATTTCCTCTGAGTCGTGATTATATTTCTCTTCACATAAGTCTTTTTATTATCCTTTTAATGACGACACTGTGATTTTATTTCTCTCCTTTCTAATAATATTATGTATATATTATATATATTATATATATATATAAATATATAATATATATATATATATATAATATATATATATATATATATATATATATATATATATATATATTTATATATATATATATATATATATATATATATATATATATATATATATATATATATATATATAATATATATATATATTATAATATATATTATATATATATATAATATAAAGCCGAACTCTTAAAAATTTGACTTTTCCAAGTAAATTGTTTACAGACTAATAGATATATTTTTTCACTGACGATGATGTAATCATTATTATTTTTTGATCATTAGAACTTAGAAACTTCACCTAACCTAATTTAGCGTAATTTTTTTTAGCCAAATTCCTCTAAATATATCATAGATCAGTTTAAATTTATTTATTACAAAAGAACCTATGTAATTTTTCGTTTGGTTGAGACTGATTTTTGCAGATTTATTGCATAAATCTTTTTCACTTTGCTTATTCGACCTAACTCTCCGGTTTCGCTTATTCGGTTAGTTTAAGAAAGAGAACTGATACATGATGAAAGCGCTGGATCTTCCTCAGCTTACCTCTAAGCTTGTCTCTAGCAATTGCATTAATACCTGGAGAAGTATACCAGGAGGCTCGTCCAGGGGTCAATGCCCTCACGAAATGATCCATGACCTTCTCTACTTCCTTACCCTTCCCCAGTCATTCTATCTCTCTATATCTCTCTCTGGATCAAATTGATTTCCCATAAGTAATTCTGGATAAATAATTGTCCTTGCATAGTGAAAATACATTTGGCGTCTCTCAGCTGTTATTAATCTCCTCTGTCTTGCTTTTCTCTGTCTACTCTCTTTCTGTCTATTTCTTATTTATTTCTTCTTTCTCGAGGCTAAGAATTGTTCTCTGCTTTGTAAGTTTTACTTTTTAAAAATTTCTCTGTTATTTTGTCTTGTCAGTACTCTGCTATTCCTCCTTCCAGTCCTTGTTGGTATTATGCTACTCCTATTTTCTTGTTATCATTCTGCCATTCCTAGTGCTATTCCTTCCTAGTATTCTTCTATTCTTATTCTTTGTCAGCTCTCTGTCATGCCTCTTCCCATTCCACGCTGGTATTCAGTCTTATTTCAGATTTAACTACTTTTTCATTTACTGTTCCTTGTTAGTATTTTGTCATTCATATTTCTGTCACTAGTCAGTGTTCTTCCAATAACCACAACATCAATGATATTTCAAAGGAACGCAGCACATTACTATCACAAGAGTACACCATGACACTGCAGCTCTACCAGCACATATCATGCCAACGGAACCCTCATAGGTACACAGAACGACAACGACAACAGGATTCCCACAGAAACCAAGAGGATTGAGTCCCCTATTAAGAAACAACAACAATGGGGCTACCAAGGAGACGCACCATACTAATAGGACCTCGACTGGGAACGCTATATCAATGGTTCGTCAACGGGGAGACACCATACAGTGGGACGGCAACAGGGAGACACCACACCAATGGGACCTCGTCAGGAAGACACCATACCAATGGGACCCCAGTTGCTTCACACTAGTGGGACGACCCCTTCCCTCACATGGTCACACCAATAGGCAGGTTACAGGGAAGAACACCACACCACCACAAACTTCCATGGCGCAGCAGCATAACCCCATAAAAACAGTCGAGACGAATACCCTCCACCCCCCACTACACCCAGTCACCAACATCCCAACCTCCACTAGCTCCAACACACCCCCAAGACTCTCCCAACACCGTTATTCAGCCACGCGCACCCGCCAGGGCGCAGACCAGTCCATGCATACCTGTCTGCGGACGTTTGTAAACACGATTAAACATTCATATCCGTTTCGACCCGATAGCGTTAAATGTTATTGCGTGATGGAGGTCTGGAGGCTAAGGCTCAGGGGAGGGGGGAAAAGGATGAGGGGAAGAGGACAAAAGGGAAAGGGTTGATGCGTTGTGATAAAGGGGGGAGGAGGAGGAGGCATGGAAGGAGGATTTGAGGAAAGTGCGGGATGTAGACGAGGTGAGAAATTACGGAGGATAAACAAGGAGAAAAAGGGGGCAGTCTCGCAGGAAATTTAGAAGATAAGTATAAATAGCTTCCGTCTGCCAGGCGGCTGTCACAGGGCTTTCAATGTGCACGGTAATATCACCCCACGCGGAATTTATAGAGAAGATAGATACCAGCAATATATCGTGTTAATCCAGGCAGGATTCCCACGTTTTCTTTCAAGCTGTCTTCCCAGCTTCCTTTATACCCTTGTGGGGTCGCTGCTACTGTTGCTGCTGTTGTTGTTTCTGCTGCTGCTGTTGCTGTTGTTCTGCTGCTGCTGTCATGTCGTAGCATCTCATGATGCTGATGATAATGTTGCTGTTACGATTGTGACCTTACTGCTTCTACTAGTGCTGCTTCTACTGTCCTGCCGCTGCTACTTCTGTGACCTTACTGCTTTTGCCAGCAGCTATAATAAACTGAGTTCTTTAAGAGGATAATCCTGCTAAAACACTATTACTTTTCTGGGAAACGTAATTCATATCAATGTGTATTCAAAATTTACATGGAAGGAACGGGAGGCAGGGCATAATTCTTCTGGGCGTTTATGAGTTTTGTTTTTTAAATACCGCGTAATTTCTCTATGTGGATTCTGGATTTACCGGGTTCTTTACTCGTATTTTTTGTGTTG